ATCCTTTTGGGCTTACTCTTTTCTTGGCTCCTATAAATTAATAATTGGTCCGGTCCATTAAACCATGGATCCAATTCAATTAATTCGTAAATTAATTTCTAACAATGTTAAGCAAAGTTCTGTTTCTCCTTTCTGCCACTCCATTCTGTTAGGGGCAGTCAGGTGCGGATAACTGGCGCACAATACCCTTATTGACCATATGATCCTTGAACTCCCCTAAGAGGTATTCACCTCCTCGATCAGATTGAAGTGTTTTAATAAGTTTACCTAATCTACGCTCCACTTCCGCCTGAAACTCACGGAATTTTCCATATGCTTCTGACTTGTGTCGCATTAGGTAAATATATCCAAAACGTGAATAATCATCAATGAAAGTGATGAAATACTCAAACCCTCATCTCGCTTGGGTGTTCATGGGACCACACACGTCTGTGTGCACCAACTCTAATTGTTCTTTGGCTCTATAACCTTTGGCTGAGTAAGCCCTTCGAGTCATCTTTCCTTCAATACAGGATTCACAAGTTGACATAGGCTCCTCTGCCTCACAAGGTAATAAACCTTCTTTAACCAACCTTTGAATCATATTTTAATTGATGTGATCCAATCGTAGATGCCAATGATACAATGAGTTTGGAGAAACTGCTTTTCTTTTAACATTCAATCTAGATGAAGTTGCATTTAATTCATAATTTTGCATTTGATATGAGTTAGGAGTTAAAATATATAGACTATATTTCAATGCACCAGAAGTTATAACACAACCATTTAATTTAATTAAAACATTTTTTCCAAAAGTAAAAATATAGTTTTTGCAAACCAATGAAGAAACTGAAATTAAATTGCGCCTAACATTTGGCGCATAAAGACAATCTTCTAAAATAAGACTCCTCCCACTATCAAACTGCATATGAACCACTCCCACTGCTTTAGCTTCCACCTTGGCATTAGATCCCATATGTAAGTATATCTCTCCTTCATTGAGGCTTCTGAACTCTTGGAATCCCTACAATGAATTGCAAATATGATTAGTGGCTCCAGAATTTATGCACCAGGAATTTATAGATTCAACCACATTACATGCCTCAACAATAAATATACCTTTTCCTTTGCCTTGTGTGCGAAGTGTTGAGTAGTTAGGTTTCTAGTGACCCGGTTGACCACAATGGAAGTAGTTTCCTTCGCCTTCAACCCGCACTTTCTTCTTTCCCTTATCCTTTTGGATTACTTTTTTTGGCACAACCACAGTTTTGGCACCATCCTTCTTCTTTTTCTTGCCCCTCCTCTTGGGCCTAGAAGTGGATGGTCCAACAAACTGAGTGTAGTTGATAGAGGCACCCTTATTTTTGATTATCCCTTCAAAGGTTACCAACTCATTCAGAAGTTCAGCGAGTGAGTACTCAAGCTTATTCATAGAATAATTAATCCTAAAAGAGTTAAATGAGTCTGGCAATGAAGCGATAATCATATCAACCTGAAGTTCACCATCCAAGTTGCATCCAAGGATCTCAAGTTCATTTAGAAAACCAATCATTTTTAAAGCATGTTCCCGAACTGAAGTACCTTGGACCATCTTGATGGTCATCAAGTTTGTCATAGCATTTTGGCGTGCACTCTTACCAACTTGCCCAAACATTTCCTTGAGGTTAAGCATGATGTCTGCAGAAGTAAGATACTGAAGATGTTGACTTTGGAGTACATTCAGGAGTGAAGCAAGAATGTAGCACCTAGTTATCTCATCTGCTTTATTCCATTTCTTAAAAACTTCATGCTCCTCAGGAGGATCCTCAGGCAAAGGTGGAGAAGGTCTGGGAGTAGTAAGCACATAATTCAACCCCTTATATTTGAGTACAATATCTAGTTGCCTTTTCCAATCGATATAATTAGGTCCATTTAATCGATTTTCTTTTAGTATGTTCGCAAGTGGACTGAATGGACTAGTCATGATAAATCTGAAAATAAAAGCATTCATATAATAAATAAAGTGAATAGCAAGAATAAAATAATTAATTAATTGTGGGTCCCTTAACCACATTGCATGAAAAATCGGATAATCAATATGCCAATAACTTATCCGGTTGGCGGAATTTATTATTACTTATTGACGAGAACAACTCATTATTTCCATATCTCTTTAGACAATGCCTTATCTATATATGAAATAATTCCCGATTAAGTTTAGCCTTTCTAAAATCACCTAGTATAGACAACTCCGTTGGGGAGCTAATACTATTGATTTAGATTGAGTGTATAACGTAATTAATATTGCCACAAAAAATCAAATATTAAATATATTGCCATTATTAACTTAGACTCTTTAAATCATGCGTAGGGCCTTATTTTTAAAGATCTAACTATAATGATCATTTAATAAATATATTTTCGTGAGACAACCATTATTGTAATCTAGACTCTTTAAATCATGCGTAAGGCCTTATTTTTAAAGATCCAATCACAATGGTTATAATTACGAAGGCCATGGGGTAATGTATAAAAATCCCCGCTCCCATTCAATTTTTAATTATATATAACTAGGGTTTTCTATTCATGATTTAATGCATGCAAAACGCCTTGATTTTAATCTAATTAAATTTAGAAAATATATGGATTTTAAACGATTCACTAATATTTAATTTGAGGTATTCTGTTAAAATAATTTTTTGTTTCACAATAAATGCCTGTAAATTAATTAGTAATCCAATCCAATTTATCTTCATAATTTAATTAATATAAATCAAGCTATTTAGATAAAAAAATCATGGATCCAATGTATGAACAATTATAATCAGTATTAAATTATTCCATGCATCACATAAATAAGTAAAACCATAGATAGAAGCAATTTAAATGGCCAATGGATTCAGCTTTTAACATTTAAATACTATTCTTGCTGTACGGGCATCCTTTAACAGTCTGTAACCACCTATTGGAAGCTGGTACGCGTTAGGAGAAGCAAAACGTCGCTTGGAACGAGCCCGGAGGACCCCACACGTGCTGGCACGCGCCTAGGGAAGCTGACAGGTCAAGGCACGTGCCCCCACGCGCTGGGACGCGCCTCCACGCGCGTGGAGAGAAAAGAACTTGGGCTGGCGCGTGAGATGCATGAGCCAGCATGTTTTTTTGGTCTTCAGCTCCTGGCGCGTGAGATGCACGCACCAGGCCCACCATATATGCATCCCACCTAATCCGTACCTCCTCCGACGCCTCTTCTCACCGCCGGCGATGCTCCGGCCACCGGAAAAATGCCGAAAAATTCTAGAAAAATATAAAAAAAAATCCCAGAAAATTAAATTAAGCCTAAAAAAATTTCAGAAAAATTCTGAAAAATTCCAGAAAATTACTGAAGCGTAATTTAACCCTTTCGGACCCTCTTGAAGCTTCATAGCATCCTTTGATGAAGATTACATGGCTTTAATAAATATTTACAATTTGAAATACAATGGAAAAATTAAATTACATCATTGAATTTTCAAACGGCTAAATCAAAGCCTTAATTACATTCATCCAAAGATAAAATTACATTCAATATACCTATAAGCTTCATCCATGGCCCAAACACACATCATCATGTATCAATATATATCAACATAATAAATCATACATCAATAAATATATATATGTATATATAATTTGGATCCATGAAGGTGATTTTGATAAACACATGATCTCTAGTAATGAATCAAACCATGCGCTCTGATACCACTGTTGAGAAACGTGTAAGTTTTTAAAAACTTTTGAGGGATTTGCAATCATGGATCTTGATTCATCACATAGAGATAAGTTTTATGCAAAAATAAATAAAAGATGATGTATCATTCAATAAACAGATTGAATATTTATATCAAATGTCTGAGTAAACCTTTTAATCTTTCCTCTAAAGTGAATGTTCTCACTTATTGGAGATCCCTTTAGTAAGATCCTTTCTCCTTCTTCTTGATTATGATCTTCCCTTTAGGAATCACCAATATGCCTTGATGAATGACCTTGGAATCAAGGCTTGTGGTAGCCTCTTTTAGAAGATAAAACAAACCCTAAAATTTAGAGAGAGAAAGTATATTCTTTTTTCTTATTCTCAAAGTTACACCTAAAATATACATGGACCCATGTATATATAGGCAAAATAAAAATAAGAAAAGGAAACATTAAATCATTTTTCATCTCTAATTCAACTTTCTCAATTCTAACAGGACTCTAATATCAACTTGGGCTATTGGTGAGAATCCTTTTATAAATTAATAATTGGTCCGGTCCATTAAATCATGGACCCAATTCAATTAATTCATAAATTAATTTCTACTCCACTAAAAGAAATTAATTGCACTCCAATTAAATAGTAAATAACCTCTAAGTCAATGTTGCACTTTGACCCCTCTATGCATAATTATTATTAGATAATTAAAGCCATCAATCTGATAACATAATTAAATATAATTATTTTGTTACCTTTGATTATTTCTGGCTCAATCATAATAAAATATTTATTTGACAAAAATAATAATTTACTAAATATATATATATAGAAAACATTTGTCTAAAATATACGAAGGCCTTCGAATTTAATTTGTGATCAACCATAATCAAAACAAAATAAATACAAAAAGCACTTATGCAAATATTGAGAATATAGACCTTTAACTATTAATTATATAATTACCCAAAGTGCCGATTTAAGGATCCCGAGATATCCGCCGAACAAATCAAAATAATTATTAATTAATAAAAGAGTCTATACTTATCTCATGCTTGAGAGTCAAAAACTATGACTGTGATAGAGAGCAATTGCATACGACAGTTCTCGCAATATATCTCAATTTATCGTGAACTTGGTTCAAGTCTTAACAAATTAAATGTCCATCTATAATTACCGACTTTGAACCATTTATAATTACTAATTTATAACTTAGTATTAATTACCATTATATACATATATAAATATATCTTGTAATCAAGTGGACACAATCAATTCCATAATGAATCGAAAAATAATACATTACATTCACCAATTGTATAATGATTTAATAATAATATTAAGATAAGGAACCATGACTTTTACAATCCAAAATAAGAATTTGCTATGCTAGGGCAGGCATATCCCACTACTATAACCATTGAAACTTCATCTATGTCCCAATAAATAGGAACATTTGGTAACATTACATACAGTGTGTCTGAAAGGAAGAGAAGCCTACGAATAGAAATTCTTTTGGAGTCATATTTCATACAGATATCACTAACTATATTAAGCATGCCTCTGATACATATGAGGAATTGCCAAGAATAGTTGAAAGTATGCAAAAGCCTTATTTGTGAAACATATCAAATAGAATACGAATATTTCTTCTCTAAGTGAGTACACCATCCCGAAACTTAGCTAGATTAGTGGCTTCATTCAAGTCCTTACGTTCTCATGAAACGTGATTTTGATCTTTTTGAGCCTAGCTAGGACATTTTTCATGTTAACCCTCTCCTCGGGTAAGTCCGTGGTGCATTCTAGGGCTAGTTCCAAGAGGGATGACAGACAATTCTTTGTAGAAGCAAAATTTTCTTCCTCTCCTCTAAGTAAATTTGCATCTACAACCTCCAGCATTTCACTAGGGAAAGACTCACACACCCAATGCTTCAAACTCAATTCTCCCAGAAATAGATCATCTGTGGGCTTCTTTCTTGTAAATGTTTCCATCAACAAAATCCCGTAACTGTAAACATCTGCCATAGCGGATACTATCCCAGCCGAACCGTACTCTGTAACATTAGTAACATAAGTAAATTTTAATAATAAAAAAATATATATTAATAGCATAACAATTGATATATAAATTTATTTCGAGATGGAGAAAAAAATGAAAAATGTACTGAAGTCCCATGTTAGTTAATTTTACATATGTGAAAACCAAATCAAGAAGAGAAGCAAGAACAAAAATTTATGTTGCATATTATTTATTTCCTTCTCTATTTTCCAGGACATTGACATAGTGTAAAAATGTCCCAATGGTATTGTTATCGAATCATGGTAACAAAATATATTTATTGTAGAAGGAACATACCTGGTGCCATATACCCAATGGTGCCTAATGTCTTTGTTTGACCCATTGAATTGTTCTCCATCAAGAGCTTTGCTATGCCGAAATCACCTACATGTGCGACCCTGTCTTCATCTAATAGAATGTTGCTCGGCTTCAAGTCACAATGCACCACAGGGGTTGAAGTTGAACTACCGTGATGGAGATACTTTACTGCAGACGCAACGTCTATCATAATGCACAACCTTTGGACAATAGTCAAGCAATAGTTGTGAGAGTACAACCACCTGTCAAGGTTCCCATTAGGCATATATTCTAGCACCAAGGCTATGAAATCGAGGTTAGAGCAACTGCTGATTATTTTGACAAGATTCCGGTGCCGAATGTTGCGCATTACTTCGCACTCTGCATCGAAACTCTGGAATGCACCTTGTTGCTCTAAATTGAAAACCTTCACTGCAGCCACCATTCCATCAGTGAATATCCCCTTGTATACTGAACCAATGCCTCCCTTGCCGATCAAATTGACTTCACTGAAGTAGTTTGTTGAATAAAGAATCTCTTGGTGTGATATCCTTCTATGTGTTACACCAAGTGGTAAATCACATTGGATTGGAAGTTGCCTGCTTTTCTTTTTGCATCTTAGCAATCCAACTAGAAAACCCACTACAATTACCGATGAGGCAATTGGTGGTACAATATATTTTAGAAGAATTTCTGTCTTCTGTGATTTTTGGGGGCTTGCACATTTTCTGACATGGAACTGTGGTGCTCCACATAGTCCATCATTCTGCATGAAAGATTCATACGTGAAATTTGAAAAAGGTCCTCCATTTGGAATTTCTCCACTTAGTCTATTGAACGAAACATTAACAAAAGTTTCTCCAATGACTTGGGATTGCAGTAGAAAAACTGTTCCGCGATAGATCTAAGGATTCCAAACTTATCAAATCAGAAAATGATTGGGGTATAGGACCTTGTAGTCTGTTCTCTGAGAAGGAGATGTTAATTAGGCTCTGAAGTCGCCCAATTGTGCTTGGAATTTCACCTGTGAATTGATTCTTTGATAGATCCAACTCTGTAAGATGTTTCAAGTTTCCGATTTCTGGAGGTAGAGAACCAGTTAGATTATTAGAAGAAATATTCAGAACAATGATATCCTTAAGGTTCCACATAGTCAATGGAATAGAAGTTAAGGCATTGTTTTCTAAATAGAGTCTTCTCAATGAAGTAAGGTTCCCAAAGCAGCTCGGAATTGATCCAGAAAACTTACTCCCGTGCAACACTAAACCACTCAAGCTTGTTAAATCACAAAGTATGCTTGTTATTGCGCCTTGTAATTTAGTAACAGCAATTTCCAACACCTGGAGTTTCAGTAGCTGTCCAAATGTTACCGGAATTGACCCTGTCAAGTCATTAAATCCTAGGCCCAATTGAACCAAGTTGATCAAATTTCCAATTTCTCTAGGAATTATTCCTTTTATTTGGCAGGCACTTGCAATGAAATCTTCAAGAGAGCTGGAAAAATTTCCTATGGATTTTGGAAGAATACCATTTAGAGGATTATCTTGTATGATCAGTGTTTTCAAAAGCCTGCAATTTGTTAATGAAGTGAGAAAACTTAGCTCAAGTGTCCATGGATCATTTTCCAAATGATTCACTCCTAAATCGAGGAATTGGAGATGGTGCTACCAACAAACAAGTTACTGGATAGATCGATTTCAACTAGTTGGGAGACATTTGAGATTGAGTTGGGAATTATTCCACTGATTTGGTTGTAACCAAGATAAAGAATATCAAGATTTGGAAGCCAAAGGCCAAAACTTGATGGAAGATTTCCTGAAAGGCTATAATTTGTAAGGGAAAATTGTCGTAATCTAGTTACGTTGAAGAGTGACCATGGTATTTCACCCATAAGGTTGTTAGATTCAAGGCTTAACATTATCAAATTCGAGAGATGACCCAATTGCCAAGGAATAGCGCCATGAAAATTGTTTTGACTCGAATAAATCTCCTCTAACATGGACATATTACCGATTGAAAGTGGTGTTTCACCCATAAGGTGGTTAGAACCAAGGCTTAACATTATCAAATTCGAGAGATGACCCAATTGCCAAGGAATAGCACCATGAAAATTGTTTTCACTCAAATCAATCTCCTCTAACATGGACATATTACCGATTGAAAGTGGAATCTCACCTTTCAAGTTATTGTTCCATAGATCGAGTACTTTAAGTGACTTACAATGAGACAGTCCAGAAGAGAGATTGCCAGTGAGTCGGTTCCGAGAAAGGTTAATGAATTCAAGCCTTGAATTTCGGCGACATAGACCCTTGGGCAGACCACCAGAGATTTTATTGTTGGGGATATTAAATTCACAAGTGAGGAGATGTTGAAGATTGTATCAGGTAATTCACCTGCAAGAAAAGTGAAGACAAAAGATGCTTACAGATTGCAAAATTGAATGCTAAATTTGCATGCCTAACTAAATATCCGTGCAGTTTCGACTGGATTGTTTTGACCTGTGAAGACCTTTATCTGATCCAAAATGGGCTAAGTATCAAAACTCACTTGTTATTCTGGTGGATTTAGATGTATTTAAACAAAATTCATCGTTTAAACACTTAGAATGCCAAATTTGCATGCCAACCAGAATATCGTGCAGTTTCGACCGGAGCGTTTTGCTATAGATATCCCAAGGCTGGTAGCATTTTTAAAAGTGATAAATACATTACCAATTGAAGGTAAAATTGTACGTACCAGTCAGGCTGTTATCATTAAGATATAAAATCTGAAGCTTAGATAAGTTGCCGATTCCATGAGGAATTTGTCCTGTAAATTCATTGATTGATAGTGATATATGTTGAAGCTCAGTACATTTGGGCAAGCTAGTAGGAAGGTTGCCACTTAGCTGATTTAATGGAAGATATAGCTCTCGAAGCTTTGGGAGATTGTTGCACATGCCCGCTGGGAGAGTACCATACAAGTTATTGTTAGTGAGGACAATATTTTGCAAAGAAGAAATGTTGAAGATGGTGGAAGGAATGAACCCTGAAATGTTATTGTCACTGATGTCGACTATCTTCAACTTGGATAGATGATGGCCTATGTCTCGGGGGATAGATCCTGTGAAATTGTTGTGAGAGAGAAGAAGGAGCTGAAGATTGGTTAGAAATCTGAAACTCTATGAAATTTTTCCACTAAACACATTAAAGCTAAAATTGATTGATTTTAGGCGACGCAAACGACTCAGTTCATCAGGGAGATGGCCATGAAAACTGTTCTCACTGATGTCAAAGAAACCGAGGAATGAGAGGTTGCCGACTTCTTTGGGGATAGTACCAGTAAGATCCATATTTGGAAGAATCAAGGCTGTCACTCTTTGGCGCCTACGGCTACAAGAAACACCAACCCAATTGCAAAAGGAGGTACCTTGTGACCAATTTGTTGCCAAAACATTACTAGGTTCAAAAGTAATATGAGCTTTGAAGGCTAGAAGTGCATTCTCATCTGTGAAGCTGGTTGGAGACACAGCCAGGCAAGCCACAAATGAGTATATTATAAGCAATAACAGCACTAAATTCTTCTTTTCCATGATGTTTGGAGAGAGAGGGATAATATCAGTTCAAGTTTTATAAATACGAGTGCAAGTAGTAAAATATTGTTTGGTGCAAAGAAAAAAACACAGGCTGCAAAATTTAGAGTTGGAATTGAATTGGAATTTTAGTTCTGTCAAATTGTAAATTTATAGCATCCTAGTAGTTGTTTTGTTTCAGTTCTGGAATTTATTTGTATGTGATTTCCTGACAGCAGTGTGTGAAAGGGATATAGTCAATGCCACTTATGCTTCCTTCTTGATATAAGTGGCCAAGAGGGGCAGTCTCTTAAACGTAAGTAATACTTCAACATGCCAATACTTCAACATGCCACGGTTACGTGTTGGACACCGACACTCATCAGATGCTCTTTATACACATATTCGACACTTCATATACATGTCCCTAAATAAAAATTAAATTTTATTATTTTAGATACTTAGCCGACACTTCCGGACATTTCGTGAACACTTTCCGAGCTCTTAATTAGGCGGACACTTTTTAACCTATCAACACATGTCTGCCTACAAGTCTACCTAGTAATCTTGAAACTAATATGAATACATTTATAAAGTGTTCCAACCTTTTTCTTTAAGAAAAATTAGCATTATACATCTTATTACAAGTAAAGCATAAAACAACCCCAAGGAGTTGGCCTAGTGGTAAAATTACTTGGGCTTGTGTGCTACGTCTGGGTTTAATTCCCACTAGGAGCTTACGGTAACTTGGGATCAGGCTTTCGTTGCCATACTTAGTGACTTATCCGGCCTGGGGTGGGGAGGCCGCCCTTTCTGGGTCCTCGGGGATTAATCGAGACGAAGCCTCGGATATCCCGGGTCATCAAAAAAAAAAAATAGTGATATAATTTTATTTTCTAAAGCATTTTAAAGCAACTCTTTTGCTATGTTTAGTAGGAAGGAAAGAAGGGGGTAGAAAGAAAATAGGAAGGAAGGAGCAAATTTCTTTCGTTCGGTAGAGATGATATAAAGAAAGAAATGATAAAAGGACTCATCCTTCCTCCTTCACAAATTTTCATCTGTCTATATATGGGCCGATGATAGGAGAGAAGACAAGTGAACCTATTATAGAAGTTTTAAATTACTGCATCACCCTTCATAAATATTTAATAAATCCCATAAATAAGGTAAGGAATGGGTTTAATGGTAAAAATAAATTAAAAATTTATCTTTCCTTCTAACCTATAGATCAAGTTAAATTATCGGTTTTTTCCATTCTCTTTCATCCAACTTAATAAAAAGAGGGAAATGCTTAATCTCTTCCCTAAGAATGTCTCAGTCATCATTTCTTTTTTCCTATGTATTTAATTTTTTTCTTTCCCACCGAACGGGATATTAGTATAAAAATTAGAAATGAATTAAAATTTTACATTATTCAAGCTGTACCCGTGTGCTATTTTACTTTTTAAAATTTTAACATATCGACATATCCGTATCGTATTATTTTCGTATCTCCGTGTCCATTCTACATTGCCGAAAACTCGGCAAAGTCTTTGAAGTAAGTATTACTTCAATATACATTTCGCCGACGTCTCAAAATTGACAAATCAGACAACACCTCCTGGAAAAGTTCTCCCCAAGTTAGAAATTATTTTCGTATTGCATAAGATCCATTGGAACTTGGTATTGTCACCATCAATGAGCAGAGTACAATTGTAGGAGGAGCTGTACATGTTAAAAGTCTTTCTCCATTTTCTTGGCTGCCAAACGATGTGGAATTCAAAGCTTTGTTTGTTTTCCTAGCCTTGTTTAGTTTGGCATCTTTGGACTTTCGCCCGATGTTCAGTGTATTATTTACGTTAAAAACATTTGTACTATCAATTGAAAATCTGTGCGTGTGAAAATAATAGTCAATGCCAACTAAGTAGATGAATGACTATCTTTTGGAGAGGTTCGAAATTAGTTGATGTACTCCTACGTGGAAAGTTGGGGAAGTCTTTGGTGTATGTTATACTTCAATGTTTTCCTACGTTGAAAATTTTTCTTATTTATTGTCACCATCAATGACCACGTACAGTTCCATTAAAGAAATGACTAGACATGTCTTTCTCCATTTTCTTGATAACCAAACAGTATGGAATCTAAAGTTCAAGGATTTTTTTTTAAAAGGCAACGAGGGTTAGAATTTAAAAGTTCAATTAGTAGATGTATAAATTCTTGACATTTCAAAATTTACTGGAGGCCTTTGCTCACTGCGGCAAGCTTAAACGGTAGAAAAATAATTTTTTGCACCATTGTATGTTTGGGATTGTTTCTCAACTGCATAAAAGGGTTCTATTTTGAAATCAAATTTAGCTCTGTAAAACTTTTGACTAAAGCTAGAATTTGAAACTTTCAAAATGACGTTGAATATTTTAAATAACTCTTTTTTATGTGAAAATTTTATTTTTTATACAAACAATTACACTTCGTCTTCCTCACAGCTGTAGTGATAATGTTGCATATATCTCATTCTCTTCAGATTTTGTAATTGGTGGACACTAAGAAATTTCCTGTATTGAACAATGATAAGAGCCCTAATTCAATGATAAGAAATTTCCAGCATAATTCAATTTCATTATATTATTATTTCAAAAAGAGTGAACTTCCTGTATTGAACACTAAGAAATTTTACTCTAAAAAACATAAAATAATAGTATTATTACCAAACAATGATAAGAGCCCAAAAGTCGAAACGACAATCAAACAAATTTTTTTTTTTTTTTTTTTTTTTATGGTAAAATAAACACACACACACTTTTTCGCCCACGCCAAGGCTCGAACCCCTCCCCTCTTCTTTGAAGATGGGGAGGTTATACCATTGGGCCAAAGGCCCTTTGGTGATAACCGAACAAAAATTGCAAAGGACTAAACAATGATAAGAGCCCAAAAGCCGAAACAACAACCAAATAAAAATTGCCTTAAAGCCCAACTAAAATTGGGCCGAGTCAAGGCAAACAAAATGGTCGACTGGCATAAGAGTAGGCCCAAAGTATTTGCTCAAAATTTTGAACCCAACATAGCTATGAATGCAGCTTTACGCTGGGCCTAGGTGATCCATCAAGCAGCCACCCAAGACCAAACCCCTGCAAGACAAGCCCAATGTATATATACACACACGCTATAAAACTTGCCCACATTCTCCGTCACAGAGAAGCAATGATTTGGGGTGACCCACAAATGCTAAAACACATGCCCAATATTGAAGCATTAATAATAGGAAAAAGCTTGCCTTTACGCCAATGGATCAATAATAATATGACATGTGTTTTAAAAAAATTTAAAAAATTAAACTTAAATCATGCAGATCTTTTCATAGGTAATCCAAAAGGAAAGAGGATTTTTTTGGAACAAGTTTGCCTTAGGCCACCAACAACAACTTAACATGTGTCCAAATTTTTTATTTTTTAAATTAAACTTGAATTATGCAAATCTTTTTACGGGTCATCCAAAAGGAAAGAAGATTTTTTTTTCTCTACATTTGAGATTTTCTCCCACGCGTGTGAGACCCGATAGAGCTCTCTCTCAATCATGATTCCTTCTCTCTTCACACCAAATCGCCATTAGTGCCCACCATCTCCCCAATTCTGAAAACCTAATATTCATCATTTGTTCCGCCAGCCGACCCCACCACCTCCATTACTTGTTGACCTCCTCCATTCTCAAACGTACCCTAATACTTTAATTGCAAGCTTTAGAGTTTAGAGATTATTCAAGATGCCACATTCATTGCCTACCATATATGTTGCAATTGCATCTCTAGAATGACACAAGACAACAACTATTCATCTAAAGGAGAATTGACTTCTTTAAAATTTCTATAAAATCAATTGTGGGTTGATTTACCACTTTTTTTTATTTGGATTATTTGTTTAGTTTCTTATATAACGGATTGCAATATGAAAGTTTTTCTTTCTAATTTAACAGTTAGGTGAACTAATTCTTTGGTGTATAAATTTCCCTCGAAGGAAATTTATTTGTGGGTAAAAACTAAAAATAAAAATCTCAAACGCAAAGAAAAAAAATGGGAAAAAGCTTGCCTTAGGCCGCATCGATCAGTAGGTCTCTCTTTCTAATGCTGATATGGACCAACAATAACATGACATGTGTCCCAAAAAAATGAAAAAAATTAAGCTTGAATCACACGGATCTTTTCACGGGTCATCCAAAAGGAAAGAGGACTTTTTTTTTTTTTTTTTTCTCTGCTTTTGAGATTATTTTTTTTTACCCACAACACCAAAACATTAGATCACCCAACTGTTAAAATAGAAAGAAAAACTTTCATATTGCAATCCGTTACATAAGAAACTAAACAAATATTTTCCAAAAAAAAAAAAAAAATGGTAAATCAACCCCCAATTGATTTTATAGAAATTTTGAAAAAGTCAATTCTCCTTCAGGTGAATAGTTGTTGTCTTGTGTCATCCTAGAGATGGAATTGCAACAAATATGGCAGGCAATGAATGTGGTGTCTTGAATAATCTCTAAACTCTAAAGCTTGCAATTAAAGTATTAGGGTACGTTTGAGAATGGAGGAGTAGTGGAGGTGGTGGATGTCAGTTGGCGGAGCATATGATGAATGTTAGGGTTTCAGAATTGGGGAGATGGTGGGCATCAATAGCGATTTGGTGTGAAGAGAGAAGGAATCATGATCGAGATAGAGCTTTAACAGGTCTCACACATGTGGGAGAAAATCTTAAACACGGAGACAAAAAATCTTCATTCCTTTTGGATGACCCGTGAAAAGATCCGCATGATTTAAGTTTAATTTTTTTGGACACATGTTAAGTTGTTGTTGGTCTCAAAAGAAGAGGCCTATTGATGCGGCCTAAGACAACCTTTTTCCTATTAATACTAAGGGTAGGGTACAACATGATTACTAAGTAATTTTTTTTTTTAATTAATATGATTAATAAGTGTACACATAAATTTTGTATCTGTAAAATAAAGAATGAAATATGGAGTAAATAATCAATTTTATTAATATTTGATAAGCGGGTACAATTCTCTATAATATCTTTATAATAAAAAGAGTGTACCATCTGATTCGATCTCCTAAATCTTTGGTGCAAATGCTTCAATATTTGATGTTGAATCGGTTGCAACGAACTTTCTTCAAATCTCCGAGA